TGTAGATATTCGAAGCGGGTTCTGGAATCAAGATCTCCATTGATCGTGCAATTCCCCATTGATCGTAGTATTCCCCATTGATCGCAGTACGGCACCATGGGGAATCCGTATGTTCAAATTTCTTTGTATGTACTTACACGACTTGCTTTCGATCAGGTGTTGGCATCCAGACCTTCGTGCTTTATTTATCGCAGTATTCTCCATGGGATACCTTTTAGGTCTTGCTGTTGAATCTTCCTGTGCATGGAGAATCGTAAAATTTCCGCACTAAGAAAGGAATAATTCATCATCGTGTTTGCTCAGTCGAAAGGCGCATTCATTACTTGATGAATTATAAAATTGTTCTATGTCAATATGCCCTTCACCGACCACTGAACAATATAAAAAAAAACAATAAGGATATGTTTCCTTTCTATTCGGACGGTGGAATAATCATTGTACATCAGAAAACAATAACACTCGGGGGTAGATGAATGATCACTATGATTATCTGATGAAATTACCCATGCATAATTGTTTGCAGAAGTGCATAATTTGCCGAAGTGCTAGTTATTTCGTCTTTGACAACTCATGACTTCATCGTTTTTCCTCGAAATTTAGTGTTCTCTGTATCCAGAGATTATGTAAAGAGCTCTCAAGAAATAATTACTGGTTTGCAGTTCCTGAATTGTTGGGTATTGATCGAGTTGAATTATTTCAACCTGACCAGTTATTGCTTTCATGGAAATAATACATTATCAGTAAGATAAAAATAGGTATTATCAGGAGAAAAAAGCTCAACTGTTTATTAATTGCATATGCAGTAAATTGTAAACCTTTTGTATACAACCGCTTGTAACAAATTGTTGTGTTCACGAGAACAACTTTTGTATTCAAGCTAGATGATTCAAAATGACCTGAGATAGAAATATTCAATTCATTCATTGATTCTTTGAAAAGACTACGTTTTCTTTGTGAGATATGGATAGGTTAAATTAGAAAAATAAACAGCTGCACTGATTTTGAATCACATATCACAAAAATATAATGAGTACCCAGAAAACACATGAAAACAACCAACGCAAATCATTCAATCTTGTTGATCAGTTACGTGACAAAATAGTTGACAGGTAGGTTCAAAGTTCATGAGTTGACTGTGCCTAATGTCCGCAACACGTTTCATCATACGTAACATCGATTCTATGTTATGATAGTTTCATAATTGTAACATCATTGGGATTTAAATGTGATGTCAGAATCTAGATAACAATTATGTCCCACTCATATAATTGCAAGGTTACTATTATGAATACTCCAAGTATAATGAATACAACAAAATAAGCAGAATGATCAATAATTCATTGAACAGAAAATCCACCATACAATGTGAAAATTTACCAACCTACAAATTGTACGACGTTCTCGAAGGTTGAGTCACTTTCATAATCCACCATTTTCATGCCAACAATATACCTTGTGCTTGAACTCCATTATCGTTTGTGATAGTTGCTGACGCCAAGAATTATTTGAAATATGATTAAATCTCCTTATTCCTGCTTTCGACGGATTCCATTTTGGTGATCTGAAACAATGACACATAAGAATATAAAAATTCAACCCAAAATGTCCTCAACATTCTAACTTGACTGGAAGTTACTTCATTAAACAATTACATACCTTGTTTGATTGTTATATGTAAAACAATTAGCATTGAACATGTTATTCAACTCAACAAAATAATATTTCACATTTCAATCAATTTTCTGAATCTTAGACGATTTAATCCTCAAGGCACTCGCTTCACTTGCTGATCAAGTAACAAATAATACAATACATAACGGAACGTGACAACGCTGACGCCATTTTATTTCCAATTTGGGAAGACTAGACAAGAGTGAAGAAACCTCCCCTATCGTTCGTGTTCGTTCGCGACACCTCGAGATATACTGCGATAAGATTGGTCGTTGTAACGTCCGTTCGTTGAAGATGAATTATTTGTGAATAGATTGATGTGAGATTAACGTTATTCCCAAAATTCTGTATTTACATAATCATGGTAATGACGATAATGTATAATCAATGCGTAAAAAAATTATGTAAATGAGGTATCACTGTGATATGGAATATTGCTGTGGATTCAAACATGTATGTAAATATAACGAATGTGTTTACCAGGTAGGTGATACCTATATATGATGACAAAAAATATATGTATCACGTCTGTAGGAAGATTATCCAGTTTTATGATACTTCCGAAGCAAGATTATATCGATAATGCTCAGTAACAGACAGTATTCATCACAAAATATGAGAACTAAACTCTGCCTATCCTGCTTTGAAAATACAACTATCTTATCGTGAAATGAAGATAGGTTACATTGAAAAAAAAACAGCAAAACTGATTTCTTATCGCATATCCAGAAGATTGTATATAAATTGTGAAAGTATATAAGTATACATCTGATAACGAAAAATTTATTCATTATTCAAAATTTTTCTGGATTTCTTCCCCTCGTTTCTACGAAATAAAAATATGAGTATCATTTCAATATACGTGTAGTGAGGACAAAATGAATATATTCACCAAACTGTCACAGCGTTTGAAAATTAGCCTTTCGGAAATCCTAAAACAAAAATTTATTCACTTCGTTTTGGGGAAGGATATCCGATTCCAACTCTTCATCGATGGACGTTTCAAGAACGAATCTGCTCCTGTTTTCAACATAAAAATAGAGAATATTCGTCTTGCATTCTCGTCAGGTATACGTCTTGACACAGTGCCTGAATTTTTCTTTCATGCATTCTAATAGGGAAATTTTCAAATGCAGTGACATTTTTGGACGAATCATCTGGTTCGTCCTCACTACACGTTTACTGAAATCATACTAAGATTTGTATTTAATAACAACGAGGAAAAAAAATCTAAAAAATTCTGGACTAATGAATATTCCACCTCCTCGATAACCCTTAAGACAGTATTTGAGAAATGTACCCAGAACGTCTCTGGAAAAATAATCTCAGTTCTATGATACATTCAAAGCTAGAATATTAGATAATCCCAAGATGATCTGAATAAAGAAGATATTGAAAATAGCCGTGGAACTGAGAGGAAAACAAAAAAAGTGAATATGAATACTGATTGAATAGTTTCAATCACCTAATCGAGCTCAGGGAGATGATAAATGGGCTTGGAAATGGAACAAAACTAATTTCAGGCATGATCCATCAGTCTATTCATCTATTTAGTTATTTATTCGAGAACAGTAAGTTCAACATGAACTTGGTATTCTTTCTTTTTTCTCTCAAATCACGATTTCCTACTTATTGAAGTGACTGAACGTTCCAAAATTTGCAGTAAATTTGAATTCATTATTTTTCGAGGCTGAAAATGGAAAAAAATAAAGCCAATCCTGTTGATTTGGAATATGGTGGTATTTTGCATATTCGTAGTCCGAAAGCATGAGGAACAATGATATGAAATTGAAGTTTTCTTGCGAAACAATCAATTATATGTCAATTGAACTGTTCAAAATTATGTTCGTCTTCGAGAAACTGATTATATATTGATAGCTGAGATATAGAGGGAGAGCCATTTGAAATGGGACTGCTGTAGAATCGTTGATGTTGAATATTTCAATATGAAACTCGGTAAAGTTCTATTTCTGCAACGTAAATTCCAGTGACGTACACGGATTATTTGAAAACAATCGCTAATATCAATTCTGCATTTTTCAGCGTCCGAACATGATCTACTACGTTGTGATTTTTGAAAAGAGTGGATGCCGCTAAGATTTTCCTTGATAACCATTCAAATTTGATGAAGGCCAAACACCTTCAGGAATGAATGATATTTTGCAAATGACCGAAACATAAAATGAAAATGCTCCTTTCGACTTGGAAGGGGTACTTCCACAAAACACGTGATCACAAACGGACTGTTCGCTCCCAAACGTTCCTCAATAGCATTCAGCTTAATTTTTTTCTATAGTATCAGTGAAAACAATGCGCACTATCTCACTTTCTTCGGCTTTGTTGTGCACAGCTTGTGTACTGCGCCCTTCTCTATCGCATCAAAAAGTAGGCAGCAAGCTTCTATGTCATTCATCGTTGCTTTCATCGATTTTCCAATTCAAAAGCCTTAAATAAGTAACTGATGAACGGATTTCGCAAATCAACCCTATACTATACTGTATTCGTTATAAAATTGCCTTCATTATAATATATTCCACTAGTGATTAGTATATGAGTGCCATTATTTATATCAACTTAACTGTTTTTACACTGCAAGCAGAAGATAGGAACCAGTGAGAGGAAGGTTTTTGTTATGAAGTTGCTTTCATTCTGATATATTCCTCTAGTGGTGAGAATTCAAGTGAAATTATTAATATAGACTTATCTGTTTGTACACGGGAACCAGATGACATAAATACCAAGAATAGGTAGGCCACCTAGCTGTTGAATATTCTATATTTCATATAGTAAGCTTTCATTGAAATTTTGTTCATCTGACAAGAAAGTCAAAGAAGTATTAGAAGTAAATTATTTTGATTAATTTCCATTCTTCATAGTTATGAACATATTCTCTATTGCAACCCTTATGGTATATTTATATTCAGAAACATATTTTATTTAATGAAAATTCAATGAAATATAATTTTTATGCGGTTCGCAAATGAGTGGAGATTGACCTCAATTGAGATCTCAGACTATCAGTTCATATGGAAAAATATATCGGTTTGTATAAAGCTTCATCAGATGACGAAAATATTTCGCCATTGCGATATTTTTTCCAGCGCTCAAGTGCACATATCTTGCTTTTGGGTGTATGATAAATTGACATTCATCATATCTTTTTATTAATGAGAAATTATCATCCGGCGGTTGTCATTCTCTCAACCGCATTTGTTTTTGTTACAGAAAGAAAAATAATTTCCAGAGATGAAACATCGATCATATCATGAAGATCTATTTCACCAAAATATGATATCATCGTTCTGAAAGCAACAGAGTTTGATGCGAACATGAATGAACTGATGAAAATAATCGAACTCACTACACAAGCGCCCAAGAACCTCACGGAATCCAATGGAACTCCGCCCTTGGATCACATCTCTAACAGCTCAATCCATGCAAGATATTCCGAACATACATGGCACCTCGACTCGTGGATTCTGTGTTTCATGGTAGCCTTGAAGATAATCACGATGCTCATGATCATCATTGCAGCCCTGTTTGGGAACCTGTTGGTTATAGTGTCAGTGATGAGACACAGGAAGCTACGCGTGATAACAAACTATTTTGTGGTTAGTTTGGCTCTAGCTGACATGTTGGTGGCCATTTGGGCCATGTGCTTCAATTTTAGTGTGGAAGTTACGGGAGGGCAGTGGATCTTCGGGTACTTCATGTGTGACGTTTGGAACTCGCTGGATGTCTACTTTTCAACCGCCTCAATATTGCATTTGTGCTGCATAAGTGTTGATAGGTGAGTTATCATGCATGACTGACTCCATAGCAAAATTTTTATATCTGTCTCCTTTTTTGCATCCAAATTCCAGATTATATTGCTTCCCTCTCACATCCTTGATGTCGTATTCATGGGAAAAAATACGACCCAGTTGATATGGCTTTCCTCCTAGATCGAAGTGAAAAATAGCTTGAGAAGGTTCATCAAAATATAAGTTTCAGAATCAACATTTTTCAACATTTCAACAATAACAATTGTGACTCCACATTATCTGATTTTATCAATCGGAATGTCAAGAAAATAATTTTTTTCTGTGACTGGAAAAAGTTTGGCATTTCATCTCTGTTGGCAGGTTATAAAATGTCACTTTTCATAAATTACTTTTTTCCCGTGGGAAAAAAAATGCAACTTTTTTCCCGGATATATATCACATATATTTTATATGTACACTGTTGATTACTTTTGTTGTGCTATAGTTTCGAAAAATGAGTCAATAATACCGTCTCCGAGAAAGAACTGCAAGTCCTTTTATCTTCCATTCGACTTCGCGTTTACGTATATTACTAAACAACCACTGAATTCACAATTTTTTGAAATCGAATCACAGAATTAGACTGACAGAAGTGACATCAGATATTTGATTACTTCAAAAGAATGATGAAGATGCCTACAACGCAGGTGTCCCTACTGTTGAAAACTTAAAATTTCAGGTCGATAATTTTGAGATTTCAAAATAATGTATTATCTTCTCAATATTGAATCGTCCTTTTGTCTGTCACAGGAAAAAATAGTGTATTGATAACAGAAAAATATCAGATTTTAGCTCACACAACCTGGAGCTAAAATCTAGTATTTTTATTTTCCTTTTTTAATGAATAACTATTCTTTACTCAAATATCAAGGTCGTGAAAAATCACATACTTGAATTGACTTGATTGAGATATTTATTGCTTGATTCAAAGTCTAGCTACTTGATATTACTTGATCTTGAAACGCACAAGTCGCACGGCGTACATTTCTGCTATCTCGCTCGTGCTCAGATGAAGTACCTACGGAAGTTCCCCGAACTCTGAGCTGATTGAATCGACCGCGCAGTCTTGCGTTTTGATGTATACATGATAACAGGTCCTAGGTTACATCACATATGAGTGTTTGAACCTGTGCCCGCCAGAAAAAAAAGTGATTCATCTATAAAAAATTGAAGGTTCTCTATCATTTCATCATTCATTGACACAGAATGAAACTGATTGACAGCGAATAAAAGTATTTTTGATTACCTGATCAATGAATAAATACTTCAGGTGACTGGACATTGAAAAACTACATGGTGAGAATATTCTGACATGCAAGACTCCGGCTAATCTCCTTGATGTGCTCCCGCTCGCACTCACGGTTGACATTTAGTGCACAGAAAAAAATTGTTGTTTGGAACTACAAAATGTTTGTAAATTCTACAAAATCTGAGTGTCATATATCCACGACAAAATAGTTGGTCACCGCAACAAATGTTTTTTGTTAGTTTTCAATTCAACATTCATTTGATGTAACTCATTAATGATTCATATCAACAGCAGGAATTGGTTCAATAAACAGAGACTATTTTGATCCTCCAATACAATATCTGATCTTATGAACGATTCAGTCGATTGAAATGATTATATCATTTCATTCAAGTGACAAAATTTCTTGTTTTTCAGAGAGTAAATATGTTAAAATAACAATATACAGGGTGTTTCAGACTTAAATGTACATACGATACCTGTAGATAGAGGACACTTCGGTGGTTTCAAATCACCCTCCGTCGATATGTCTACCGTCTTTGATAAATGAGATACAGGACGTTACCTTGATATTGGCAAAATCTTCATCTGGTTATAACTTCTGAACCACTTTGTATATTCTATCCATACTTGGTAGAAATATTTAACTTATATTACCCATCAAGACCAAATGAAAATCCGGATCAGAATTCAGGTCCGTCTTGAGGAAAAACAGAAATCTTCTTTTATTTCATAAACAACACTCTGTATGGCAACGTTTTATTGATCGGTTTTGATATTTGGATATAGCGAGAAAAAATGAATGAAGTGACCTACTTTTCACGAGTGCGCATCCAATTTGGAAGATGGTTTATTATCATGTTTTGAATTATTCAGCTCCATTTCGAGGCATTTTTATTGAACTCATAATTCAAAACCCAATTTTTATACAGAAAAATAACAGTCTCCAAAGTTCAACATCATTAGAGTCAAATTTGGTGAACTATCGATAAATTCGTTTGTTTGACAGAATAATCTGTCGATGATTTTAAAAATTTTCCAGGACTCATTTTATACTTTACTATTTATTCATAAGCTGCGATAAAGTAGGCTGTGAAGGAAAAATGAAAATTCTGACAGTTCATTATCACTATAGTTGCGATATTATTGGTAAAGTTATTGTAGGCACAATTATGAACACTTTGAAATGTAACAACCCAATACAAGCACCAGAAATAATTATCTTAACATAACCAATAATATCACACTAGTGATTATGACCTGTCAGAATATCAGATTTGTTTGCACAGCCTACTTGACCGCAGCTCGTGAATTGATAGTGGAAAATAAAATGAGCCCTCAAAAATGAATGATACCATAGACAAGTGATTCTGTCACAACAAATCTATCGATAGTTCACCTAATTTGACTCTGATGATGTTGAACTTTGAAGACTGTTATTTTTTTGTATTAAAATTGAATTTTGAATTATAAGTTCAATAAAAATGCCTCGAAATGGAGCTGAATATTTCAAAACATGATAATAAACCATCTGTCAAATTAAATGCGCACTCGTGAAGAATAGGTCACTAATTTAATTTTTTTCCGCTCTTTCCAAATATCAAAACACACCTACAAAATTTTGCCATACAGGGTGTTGTTTTCGAGATAAAAGAAGTTTTCTCTTTGTCCTCAAGACGGACGTAGATTCTGATCTGAATCTCCATTTGGTTTTGATGGGTAATATAAGTGGAATATTTCAACCAAGTATGAATAAATTATACAAAGTGGTTCAAAAGTTATAATCAGATGAAGATGTTGCCAAAATCAAGATAACGTCCTGTATCTAAGTTATAAAAGAAGGTAGACATATCAATGGGTGGTGATTTGGAATTATCGAAGTGTCCTCTATCTACATGTATCGTATGTACATTTAAGTCTGAAACACCCTGTATATTCTTCGATCAACTAAATTGTATTCAGAATTGACAAAATATTTCCCAATCAAGTAACTGAATTTCAAAACAAACAGAAATTAGAGATCGATTTCCTCAGTTGATTCAATACTATCAGCTTGTATAAGCGTCATAAGAAATTCTAGAGGACATCCTGTCATCCTGATATAATTATATAAACGAATGTTTTAGGTAGGTATATGTACACCCCAATCGAGGCGAGCGTAAGAAGGTTAGGAGAAGTGCCATCTGGTGGCAAAAATGCAACTAGATAATCATTTAACAAAATATTTGTTTGATATAATGTATCAGTGAGTTCTGTTCAACAAAATGATTTGTTTGAAATAACAACATGTTTCTTGATGATTATGTGTTGAATCAACAAAATATAATGTTGTCATAATCAATTCAATTTAGTCGAATAGAAGAAAACCTTCGATTGGTTGCACAATGGAATGACTGTAGACTCAACAAAATATTATGTTGTATTTAGTTGAATATTCGTCAAAACTAATTCAATTTTGTCGAATAGACAAAATGCATATGGTTGATTGAACAATGAGATGAAAGTTGGATCAACAAAATTTGTTTTATGTCAACTATAAATCGACATTTAGCCGTTTTCTCAACGATGAATAATAGAGGTGTAACATTTTTTCCACGTAGCTGTGTTTATTGGGAAGTCGCAATGTTTTCACGATTTTCTAAGTTGACTTGTATGGAGAGAACCCGTGGAAAATTTCTGGCCAATACATATTTTATGATAGGATTCAATCGAACTCGGACATATTAAAAAGTTAGCTTTGTTGAAATTAGATTTCTGCCAGTCAATTTGTTATACTGGTCGAATTGTCTGATCGATCATGCCCTCTAGAGTGTCTCAATATTTCATGCGAGCATATATGAGATTTTTAATCGGTTGAATCGTTTTTCCTATTCTTTTACATTTTGCTCAGCAGAACTGGGCTACTAAATCCTGACTCTTTTATCGAAAAACCAGTGTAGTACATATACTTATCACATATACCCTTTGTACAGTGTATATTGAGAAAACCTATCAATGAATTGAGATACAAAATATGACCGCTTTTTGCCACTGAGATGAGACGCCATTTGTGTATGAACAAAAAGACAGACGAAAATATATGGATGAACCGCGCCAGTAGAGGGAAGTAGATCCGAAGTGCATGGAAAATCATATCCACGTCTTTGTTCAACCAAAACTCTTCAGTCATTTCGAGAATTTTGGGGTATGCCTCCTATCATTTCTTGTCATTGTGTCCGAACCCTTATTACAGCAAAACTGTCAAATTCATACAGGGACTATATCAGGAATCAGGTGGCCATATTGTCTTCTGCGAATATATATACTGTTGGTCATATTGGATCTCATAGGGTGATTACTTATTATTAATCTGACAACTCTGAAATACTATTCATACACAAACTGATTCATATAAAATAGGTATTTTGCGTGAAATCGGTCTTTGTGTATAACCCTATTTTATTGATGTCAAATATATTTTTCTCGTCATAACTCTAGTTATGAATACAAAACGATTCTATATTCCAATTATCATTCCTGAACGGTCAACTGTGGCAACAGATTTCATTCATTAAGCCCTCCGAACTATTGATAATACGTGGAATGATTATTGACGATTATATTGCCTTGGTACGCCAGATTAGTAATATGAACGTTTCCGCAATGAATTGATTGAGTCTCTGATTTCAATTGAAATTGGATAGCGTACATTCAGCTTCGATTTTCTAATACTTCACAATAATTAGTCACTTTATGAAG